ATTCATTACTACACCAAAGGTTCCAAACAGTCCATCACAAGTTCTTCTTCAAAAGCGGAAATGAAAACTAAATTTGTTTACTCAAATGATAGTACATTCCTGTCTCATGCTTTATGTGAAAGTTTTCAGCATGTTCTGAAAACTTGCTTTTGGTCCATACCTCCGCACTGATTTTTGCGTTCAAAACCTAATTTTCTAGGTGAATAATTATACAGTGAATTGAAATTAGCGGATATTCGTTTTTTTGTGATTTATTGTATTTTATTTAATTATTATCTTAATCCATCTTTCATTAGAAAAAATTTATATCTGCAGTATCTCACTGACAACTGAATTCAATACCCGAGTTCCTAAATCTATTGATTTCTAAGCATTCCAAAATGTTGAGTCTTGAACCTTTCTCTTCCAAAAGCAGTACATCATAATCCTGTCAAAAGATGGTTCGCAAATGTTCAATTGGTCTTTTCAGACAAAAAATTACTGCCATTATCTTTTATTCTCTTGGAGAAAGTTCTTGCAGCTTGGCCAATATGTAATTTAGGACAATATGCATATGTGCAACAACATGCGGTAAGTTCATATGAAATGGGTTCAGCATGACTGCTAAGAAATACCTCTCAGATAAGGATTTGGAAGAAATACTACAGAATCTGAGTGAAAGTGAAGAAGGCTATGATTTTTCTTATGATAGCATCGCAGATCCGAATTTTCTGCCGAGCGATCAAGATTTGGAGAATTTTGTTTCAAATTTTGATGATCAAGAAGGTGAAAACAAATTGGACTTGGATGATACAGCCGATGAAGAAGGAACCTTTGATGAAACCCAGCAAGAAACTAATGTTATGGAAACGACAGTATCAGTTCCTTCCACATCAGAAAGCTCATCGAATGGAAAGAAAACAAATCGAAAAGTACAGCAGAAGAAAAGAGAAAATATTATTTGGAAGAAAGAAAATGTCATACTGAATGAAACCCAGATGAAATTTCTTGGTAATTCGAGTCTTCCAGCTAGTTAAAAAATCATGAATCCCTTTTTTTGCTCAGAATGCTTTTTTTATCGACAACATTAACTTGATGATATCATTTCAATTGAATATGTAAAATGATTCCTAAAATTATGATACGTTCTATTTATTCAAGTTTTATATTGTTTACTGTTATCCAGTAAATAATATTAAACTTATTAATATTATGAAACGACGTCGTTGTATCTTTACGGCGAAAAAAAATTAGCAGAGCGTGGTTTCGATCCACGGACCTCTGGGTTATGGGCCCAGCACGCTTCCACTGCGCCACTCTGCTCTTGGAAATTTTGGTGCGAAATAAAGTATATAAATAAAATCATTCTAGATTTATCAAAAGTCTTTATTCAAAATATCAAATTTAATTTTTCAAATGTATACGAGGGAGTCAAGAAACTTCATCCGAGTGCTTCATTTTTGGAATATCAAAAATTTTCAAAGGTTATTTATATCAATACCTATGGTTATATCTCAAGTGCAAAATTCATAATTTTTGAAATTTTGCTAAGGAAATCAGTTTTTAATAATTTGATGAGATCCTGATAAAGTGGTTCGAAATAT